TTCTCTACCGAATATACAGGGTGTAATAGCGACGTTGCAACAAACTTTCTGGAGCAAAATCAGAAAAATTATCATTGCAATTGGTCCAATCAAATCTGTAAACGAGGATTTTATTCAAGNTAAGCTCTTAATTGCCCCGACCTTTATTAATTCATTTTCTGTTCAAGCTCTTCCAGATTGTTCTCCTTTTTGCGCTGAGGTTTTTTTCACGTCAATAAAGGAGATCAGAGGAAATTAACTGATAATTAAATCGGGTCTCATTCGGGTAAATATTTTATACGTTTATTTAGATTAATTACAATTTCAAGTTATTAAACTCTTTTTTCTTGTAAATTTATATTATAATAATGAGGTACCTTGTCCTAATATTGCAACACCCTAAAGGGCACAGAAAAGAGGGTGGAATGGGAAGTTGCTCTTTTTTCAAATTAATGTGAGGATGAAAAAAAATTTGAAAAAATTTTCCTGAGTGCGTGTGAATTGAATTTTTATTTTCTGGTCCTTTGATTGTTCGATAATCGATAATTGCTCGAAAAAGTTTTTGTCAAAAATGTTGAAACTACAGACTTAAAGCTTCAAAATGCTATTTTTTTATCTCGACACGACCATTTTCCACTGAGATTATAGCCTTTCTAAAATCACTAAAAATTTACGAAATTTTTTCGTTTCCTTAATTTTTTCCAGTAGTTTATAAATTCTATTGACTCTTTGTTTATATTAATAATAGTTATTTAACTGAGATACTTATATTAATTATATGCTGAAACTTCCAACATTTTTTAAATCTTAATAATTTTTCATAAATAAGTGTGGGAATTTAGACAGGTTACCTTATTAAGTTTTGTATATTTGGAGCGTGTATCGTTTAAGAACGCCATCCCAGGTGTTAAAACTTCATCAGAACAGCCGCCAACGCCTCAAAAATATTCCTACTCATTTATTTTCCCAGCATTTCCACATTCAGACGGTAGTGACGCTGTGAGTGAGTTAGGAACGCCCTAAAAGGGCCCCGAGAACCGGGAATGGGAGAGCAAAGATGCTTCTGCATAGTTATGTGACACTTAGAGATATCAGCCGTGGAAAATATTTAATTAAGATTCAGCTAATGGCACGAAAATGAATGTTTGCTTTTCAAAGAAAATACTGCTTAAATTACGTACCTTGCTAGACATTTATTAGTTTCATGTTGTCAAGCTCCCCTCCAATCCGTCTACCTGATTTAAATTCGAATTATATGAACAAAAACTTGGAAAAAAGCACAATCTACTGTTTGCAGAATTTTACGCAATTACGTATAACAAAAAAGGTCCTTCTGTTGTACGATCTTTCCTATTTTTTCTTTCAGTTGAATAATTTGGAAAAAATAATGAATCAAATTTTCTCTACCGAATATACAGGGTGTAATAGCGACGTTGCAACAAACTTTCTGGAGCAAAATCAGAAAAATTATCATTGCAATTGGTCCAATCAAATCTGTAAACGAGGATTTTATTCAAGATCAAACACCTTTTTCTTTAATAGTCATAATCCCTCTTATTCTTTCCCGGTACTTGATACAAATAGATGAGGTCAAAATAATATCAGTTCTTCATATAATTTTTTTCCTACGGACCTTCGTTAACAAGTTACGGGCCCTCAAAAGTGAAAATTAGAAAGTTATTTTTATTTACAATCTCTAAACCATTAACTTCAGCATGATGCAAATATGGTGATCGATAACACATGCGTACAACTTGTTTTTGACATTAAAAGTAAAATTTCATTATGCCCAGAACGCCAGGGACGGACTATGCCCAATGGTTAACAACCCAGAATTTTTGCGTAGATGACGATTGCAATCTGTCTGTATCAAAAATATGTTATATGAACAATTTGCTAACGATAACATCCTCTAGGTGCAACTCGGTAAAATCAACAGTTTAGGAAATATTTGTGATTTTATGTCATCGTTCACATCGAACGGCGCCTCCGCCATTTCTTGTTTTTAATTTTTAATTGGACATAATTACTAAGTCAGAACCGTACATATTTTTAAAATAAGCGTCTGGAAAATCTTACTGTCTGTAATGTAATTTTCTCTAACAAAATTTGGCAAACACACTTTACACATAACAAAAGATAGGAAAAAACAAGAATAAGTTAATGTAAGTTAAAAAAATAATTTAAACGAGAGAAAATTAAAATACATACACCAGTAAGGGCACTTTTCATTTCCACATACTTCCTAAGTATACGAATATTATTTGTTTGTACACGAAAAAACATTTCTGAGGTATGTCTAGTATTATCACAATGGAAATTAATTCTTAATTTCTATTTTGTGTTATGTGTTATGTAATTATTAATCACGAATTCATCGCTTTAAATGAGGCAGTTCATTTTGGTATAAATTACTCGATCTTGTCATATGTGAGCAAAACATGTACTTTATTCAGACTCGGAAAAATTAAGACCCACATTTAATAATCTTACGGGTTGAAAAACTTCTTTTTTAAAATGCGTTTCCAAAAAAATGTATTACACAAGGCTTGTTCGTTTTAATGTGATTAAAATTTTGCGCACCCTGTATTATATAAGCTGATTTTGGTCCAATAAAATGTTGCCTAACGATTTAACAAGTGTGATTTTTAATTTTTCTAGTAATCCAGTCACAGAAGAAGCATTTTGGCTACCAATTTTTTCGGATGGAGTGGATTGACGTGAAATTTGAACTGTAGCTAGGGAATAGCCCAAGAAACAAAAGTTTTATAGTACCGATGTGTGCTTTTACCCTAGGGGTGGATGCCACCCCTTCTGGAGGGTGGGAATTTTTTTATTATAAATAACCTCATGGTTCCATAGACGGACGAATTGTAAGCAAAAAATGTTCTATAAGAATTTTTTGTACAGTCAATACTTTTTGAGTTTTTTGCGCCCAAACATGTTCGGTTTTAGCCCAAAAATGCATGTTTTTGAGCCATTTTTCGCGAATATCTCAAAAACTATAAGTTTTATCAAAAAAATGACCATAAGCCAAAATGAAGGTATTTAAATAGTAAAGAGATTGCTTTTTTTATTTTTGTAGATGGTACAGAATCCGTTATGACTCCCAGAAGTTGTCAATTTCAAAGATAGCTATAATCGAAACGTTCAACGTCCTGTAGCGGAAAAATTTAAGGTTTTTCAAGGAAAACTTATATAACACCTATTAAAGTTCTTGAAAATACCTTTAAATTGATTGAGTGGTAGAAGTAGTTAGCATGAAAACTAATGAAGTTACAATCAAAATAAAATGATTGTCTTGATTTAAAAAAAAATCGGTATTAAAATTCATGTCGGAAAAAAAATTAAACGTATTCCTTCTGAAATTTACTTTATTTATGTATTAACAGCAGATTCTGGGAATTTGAACGATTTTAGAAGCTTAAATTAAAAAAATTTCATTAACTTTTGAATAAAATTTTAAAATTTTTTAAAAAATCGTCTTTTCTTCCAAATATTTCAAAAACTAAAAAAAATGATAGAATAAGTAATTGTAGGTTTTTTCTTACTGAACAATTTGCTTTTTTAAATATTTGTAGGATAAAATTTGACTGAGTTATGTCCGTTAGAAGCTCAAAACTAAGCTCCAAGACTGCCTTTCCTGAGCCCTTTTAGTTACAAATCTAAAAAACGAAGGGCTCAAAAAAACTGCATATCACAGAACTTAATTTTTGAGTAAATTTATAACTTTAAAATTACAAAAGTTATGGTAAAAAAATTAATCGCATTTTTTTGGTAAAATTTTCTGAGCGGGTAAATGACCATCATCTTTGTGCATTTTGGAGCACTTGTGAACTGATTTCAGTATTTTAATAATATACATACACACGTATCCGAGTTCACATGTATTTAAATTCAATAAAATAAAAAAAAATAATTGTATCATCATACTCGCATATAATTTTTAGGAAATTTTTCTATAAGGGGTAGGGTTTTTTATGAGGGGTAGGCCTTCCATAAGGGTTTTTTGGGTGGCTGAAAAGTTGCAATACATCATAGATCATTTGAAAACCAATAAAAAGTTTATAATTCAACATATGCATACCATTAAAACATCTCAATATTTCAATATTTTTTTATTTTATTATATGGGATGGTTTTTAAGGGTTGCAACTTTGTAATGAGTCGTAAGCTTTCTAATCAATAACAAAAGAAATACATTGTGAATACACCAAAAGAATATTTTAAACTGTTAAAAACTTTTATTTTGACCATGGAAGGATAGTTTTTAAGGATTTTTAAAGGTTGAAAAGTAATTAAAATTCATAATTATATTAAAAAACATGAAAGGAACTTTATATTTTTTGAACATAATACTGAATCTTTAAAATAGGTACGTAAATCTGCGATTTTCGCATCTTTTTTTTCGTACAAGGGTAGTTTTCACCCCACAAATAGAAAAAAGTACACATCTAGACAATATAACTTTTGAAGTGGGGGGTCAGATGAGCTTGTATGCAAATTTTCAGGAAAATCCATGCTAACCGAAAAAATTGGTAGCTTTTACCTTATTTTCGTCTTCAGTGACTGGACTAAAAACTATTATTTTTTAACTATCAGGTATCTTTTATTAAATATTTTTTTATTATTGTTTATTAAATATTTCCTCTAATTTAATATCATGACAAACAAAAGGCCATTTTACAATAATTTTACTGATTTTTCTGTATTTCCACTTTACTGATAAACAATTTTACAGAAATATTTTTTTTGCATAAAATGCCTTGATGTCAAATGTTTAAATAATATGAAAAATAATGAGACCACTTCCTTAAGGCTTATTTAGATTTTTAAATATAAAAAATACTTTATTAAATCAATAGTTTATTTCAATTTCGAAAATATTTCACATTCAGAACAAATTTGCGACGCAGAAACAACAACCAAAGTTTGGTCAAACGTTTTAATTACACCCCGCCATAACTCTGCTTGTTTTTAAGGATTGTTCGTGTTTTTACATCTATACGAAGTTTTTGGTATCAGAGCAGCTTATGGGTTTTCCGATGATTGTCCCGCCACTGTTTCGTGGTAAAAGTCTTCAAACAAATGTCGCACATGAATGGCTTGACGGCGTCGTGTGATCTCAGATGCACCTTCAACGAAAAAGGAGTCTTGAATCCCTTGCCGCACGAGTGGCACTGATACTTGAACTCGTTACTGTGGACCAGCTTGTGCCTGTTCAGGTGCTTGGTGCAGGAGAAAGTCTTATCGCACTGAGAACACTTAACGGCGTTGGGGTTCCCATGGACGGACTTCACGTGCTGATTCAAGTTCATCACGGTCTTGCCGCACTTGAAGCATATCCGGAATTTGTCATCGTGGTTCTGGTACCTGTGTTTTCTGTAGGCGCTCCTGGTGTCGAACTTAAGCTGGCAAGGCTTACACCGGTAAGTCTTGTCTTTGGCGTGTTGCAAATCGAACTTTATTGGCGAAGCGAAAACTGGTACTTCCAAAGCCATTTCTTTCTTTTCGCATCTGCAGGTTGGCCGATGATATTCGGATTTGTTTTTTGATTTTTGGAGACCGCAAAATTCGCAACTAGTCAAGGTGCAAAGTTTTACGCAGTCATTATTTGTGCTGGAGTGTATCTTTGATGAGTTTTGTCTCTTACGACTGTTTTTGTTCTTTTTGTCACGGACTTCCTTGTACCTCGATCTGAAAAATAGCAACAATGAAATAAATCACAATTTCTCTTCGAATTATTTGGCAACCGCTCTTCCAAGGCCTTCTAGAAACGAAAGAATGACGTCTTCTGCATCCTTTACGATTTTTTCTTTGGTAGATTATATTCACATGTAACTAATCCTCTCGTGCGAGATTGTATGATTTAAGAGTTGAAACCGGTATAAAAGGTCCTTACAAAGAATTTTTAAATTTTCCTAATCCAATCTAGCGTTAAAAAAATGATAGGTACAAATATTTATTGCTTTATTAACAGCGATAAAATATCTTCGGATTGTAATTATAATCAATTGCATGATGGCATTTTAGTCCCTGCTAATTTGTATTAAACAAGCCACTCAGAGATGAACTGTGATAATTTTTTACGTAAAAGTTTGTAAACTTATTAGCTTTATTATGCAGCTAATATAATTCAAAATTTTCAAGTAAATATCTCTAAAATGCTCTTTATAACATGCTTTATATTCTTTTGTCAAAAGATCGAACACTAATGCTGAAAGTTTATCTTGGTGCAACGAATTTAAATTCGTTACCTACTCAAATGTATCGTTTTTGAGAAATTGCACGTTTCTCTTGCGTTTCAAATAATTTAATGTAACCTTCACTATATGAAAATGTTTCTACGAAAATGTCCTCAAAGAGTTCGCCTTTCAAGGTTAAATTTGAGAGATACTGGTGATCAATGCCAACACCTTTACCTTCAATACAACTTTTTTAACATCAAATACGAAATAAAGTGTATTTGACCAATTAAATAAAGGAAACTTACTCTCTACTCAGTTTTCATTACTTTAATGACACTGATGAAACGAAATTATATTATAAAAACTGTACTTACCTTCTATTTGCTTATTACAGATAGAATTGCATACAGGGTGGTCTTTTAGTCAATTTTATTCAATTGTTGACGTAAAAATTCGAATACCAAGGTATTATTATTGAGAATGAGAATGTATTTTTTGTAGTGATGTGTAAAGAAAGGATAAACTTATACGAATTAACAATACACGAAATTGTGATTTCAGGANCAATAGCGGAATGACAGAGTTGTGGGAAAATGCAAGTTTATTTCGAGACCGGAACATCCACGTTCTCCTGGAGGCTAGGAAAAATTGTCGTACGCGTTGGAATCCGAGTCCTCTGCATATTAAATTTTATATTACAAACGCTAAGATTTAAACGGATAGTGTGGCAGTAAATTTTAATTTGATAAGGATTGTGCAAGGAGATATAATGGGAGCAGATTGGTCAAAGAGGTAATATTACATTCCCAACGTCAACTATGATTTGTGTCGGGATTTTAATAGAACATTAAGAATGAACGGAGGAACGGCAGGAGAAGAATTTAGGTTTGAATTTAAGTCGGGTGTTGGTTGAATTAATTTTTAAGTTTACTAGCACCCTTTCTTATTAAAACGGGAGGGCGCTTTTGGTTTTAATTACCCCTTACATGCTTTGCGAAGCATACACTCGACGGCGTAAGCAGTGCGTGATGGTGTAACTCTTCCTACTCTACAAATGTACCTTTTAAAGTGATAAAACTGTTACATTATTGCGTAATTATTATCAAATCACAAGAATAATAATATGTAATATCTTAGTTTACTCATTACAGTATCTGTCATTTACACAACAAACTAATTTATACATGACTTAATAATTTCCTTGGTTGATTGTTAATTCATTTACTGTGATAAGACTAGTCGTTCTCTTCCTAAGAAGAAATTCCGAAACTGGTGATTAAATTCTTTGCTGACATTTATAGTGTCTGTGATGGCTTGTAGGCATTGGTCGTGTGGTCCCAGTCCTTGATTTTTGCTGATAAGTGGTTCCCAAATTCCAAATAGTTCCTCGTCTCCATTGAAATTATTTCGATTCTTCTGGATTTCTGTTACCACGTTCAAGAATAATGACCAAAATTCTCGATCTCTCACTACAACTCTGATATTAGTTAGGTCTATTACGACTCGTGTATCTTGGAAATGGTTGTTCCCATTTTCTTTGAGGTATTGTAGATAATTAAGTTTCTTTAAGATGCAATCTATCTTGTCAGTATACCTTTGTATATAAGGCAGATAAGTTGTTGCCATAAATATCGCATTTCTCTTGTTCTGAGGTATTCTACTGATGGCTCGTTCAATATTCCTCAGAAAAAGACAAAGAAAAGAGTGTCAGTTCAGTTGGAGATAAGACTAAAGGGAAACCAAAGATGAGAAGAAGTAGGAATCAGGTATTATTCCAAGTGGACTTTTTTCTCTACACAAATTGTAATGCAATCGAATGAGTCGTGACAATAGTGTTTTAATTTCACATAATATGTGTCGATAGTTTTTGTTGTTTTATAGCATGTAGACATTAATGATATCTTATCTATTTGATTTTAAGAAAATGTTTATTTAATTATTTACCTATTAGTTTCTCAATGATAAAAATGTCTTTGTTAGTTTTCTCGATTTCTTTTTGAGGCAATTTTGTTCCAAGCAATGATATTATATTATTCGTATTCAATTTTGCACGCAGACTTAGGAGGCATTTAAGCTTAATAGGAATTGAGGAGGACCCTCTATGCCCGAAATGTGGCGAAGGGGAGGACACCCCTGTCCACCTTCTGGGACAGTGTGCAGCCTTTGGGAGAATAAGACATAAAGTCTTTGGTGCTGAAGAGCTGCAAGGGGTTGAGGTGAGAGACCTTCCATGGACCAAAATCCTGGCGTTCATTAGGGCGTCGGGTAGGTTCGAGGAGGGTCAGAGGCANTGATATTATATTATTCGTATTCAATTTTGCACGCAGACTTAGGAGGCATTTAAGCTTAATAGGAATTGAGGAGGACCCTCTATGCCCGAAATGTGGCGAAGGGGAGGACACCCCTGTCCACCTTCTGGGACAGTGTGCAGCCTTTGGGAGAATAAGACATAAAGTCTTTGGTGCTGAAGAGCTACAAGGGGTTGAGGTGAGAGACCTTTCATGGACCAAAATCCTGGCGTTCATTAGGGCGTCAAGTAGGTTCGAGGAGGGTCAGAGGCAGAGAGTGGTTAGGTGATGGGACGGCGGGGTTGGCAAAAAGGGCCCACTCGTGGCCTAATTGCCAGGCTGAGGCTGCCCCTTTACTACTACTACTACTACTACTACTTGCACGCTCTTTATAGCAACAAAAACTATCAATCGACATATCAAATTAAAGCTCTATTGGCATATTCAATGACAATGACAATGCCAATTTTAAAAAGCTAGCAGTAATTCGTTCCCATATTTGTGCTTCTTTAAGTTTATTTATAACTCAATTGAGGTTTTTGACTTGTCTTGTCTTATAGTCTACCAAATAAACAAGACAAAAAGAGCAACTTAATATCCTTAAACAATTCCTAACCCCGTACATTGGTAATTATCAGAACGTTCAGAACCATCAATAAAGCCATTACATACAAATCGCTTAATTCTCACTTTCTAAAAATTCCCTTCAACAGTTGGAAGTCGCTGAACGGTATATGACTTACTCCTATAATTTATGTTGCTCTCGGCAGTAAAGTAGGGCATTTGCAAGGAAAATCGTCCAGATGACGTTACTTCCTGTCTAAGTTGACAGTGTCGCCTTTGTTTTACGACTATATCAACTGCGTCATGTTGGACCCCTGCTCAGGGGTAACTTCATTGGCGTACAAATGTCTACAAACGGTTCGCCGGGACATTATTATAAGGAAATAGGGGACAGAAGCTGTTCAGTGCAGTATATCAGAGATAACTTGATACATAAACACTGTTTATAATTTCATTTGTTTTCCACGTAGCTCTTAGCGTTTGTAAATAATAAATTTAATATTATATGTATAATGGACATTACGTTTAAATTTCACAAAAGCAGCCTGAATAAGTTTTAAATATCACGTAAAGTGTGTTAGTTTTTGGTGTCCATCAATAGTTCCCCAGACAGGCACTGTAGAAATAACAAATTTTAGTACGTAGCACATTAATATTTAATGTCCATTTATAAAGTTCTCAGACAGGCCACCCATAAAAAATGCATCGCTTTGCCCGGACAACCGTCAGCCCGGTCTGGTTTTAAAATGAAGTTCCTCGTCGCGGAAAATAAAATCCATAAAAATAATTTATTGCATTTTTTTGCGGCGCCCCTGCAGGAAATTACAGATTGTATTCCTGCTGGTAACATTCAGAATTATGTCGTTGGGTTATAAAATAGGTTACTTGAAGTGGACGGACACCGAATGTCGACCCTATATTGTCCAGTCTGGCCACGAGGCCATCTAGATGGCCTGACCGATGCGCAAAGGGACCATCATGGCCAACATGATGTCGTTGTGCTGCGGTTTTAACTTTGTTATTGCTAGTTTGCGTTATGGTCATTGTCCGAATTAATATTACAATCCCATTAAAAATTAGTCACCGTGGTTTAATGCGAAATTACATGAGGAGGTTAATTTAACGGTGAATATATTATTTTAAGTGGAAAACAACATGTGCAGAGACGGGTAGGTTTTGCCATGATGTAACTTGTAGCGAATTAGGGTTTTAAAGGTCCGGAAAATCTTGCTCAAAACTATAGACAGACATGTAAATTGCATCCAATAATGCTGCAGTAAAATTTACTGAGAAAACTGCTGTTATATTTCAAGTAACAGTAATGTAACTCTTTCTCTCAAAATCAGGTCAGCTTTAATATTACAAACCACCACAATAATCATCAGAATCAAGAAAGTAAGTAGTACCAATTTTTTTTCAATTTCAAGCTTAAAATCATAAACATAAAATTTTGGCGCCCAA